ATGAAACTTTTACAAAAAAATAAAAAATAAAATTCTATAATAATAACCGCACCAGATAAGGGTCAATGGAATTCAAGAAGGGTTGGACTTAGACTGTTTGACGGAACATAACGACTCTAGGCTGTTAACGTGTTTAACTCCACTGCCAGATCTGCATGGTCTTTTCCTACGCTGTTTTTCTAAATTTGGGAGTGTTGTTGTTATGATTTTAATTTATTGTTCACCACTCAGAATTGTAGAAAAGAGTGACCACATAAATTTTATAAATAAACAATAGTGTTAATATTGTTGTATACTCCACCTGTGACATTAGAAATCTAGTCATCAAAACCCATTTTCTGTAGCTGATAAAAAGCTGACAGATAATTGATGGCATGAAAGAATTTATGTACTAAAATGTGTATTAAAAAGAAAAGGTGAACTCTGATCTGCTTCCCAGCAGGGGCCAATCTATCAGATGTTTTAGGAGAAACTTATAAATATATTTCAAAATGTAGAAATTGTTCACATCCTCTTAACAAGGAGAAACTTCTTTTCTTCTGTCTTCGATGATGGGTGCAAAGTTATAGACCTGCAGAAAATATTTCAGTTTGCTTGTTTCTTTGTAGAATCCTAACCAAGTTCAATTAGAATCAAATCAAGATGGGTTATGATATAGAGGCAAATTCTTATTGCAGAAGCTGATGAACTTATAGCTTACACATTATACTTATCCCTTTTAACACCACTTTGAACTCCACCAATAAGAGCTTCATACCAAGTTTTTTAGAAGTAATTTGTTCTTGCCTTCTTTTTAGAGCTAAAAGTGACTGGCCCAAGGTCACCCAATTGGATTTATGTCTAAGGCAGGATTAGAACTCAGAGCCTCCCAGTTTGTAGCCTGATGCTTAACTATTACAGCAAGCAGGGTCTTAAAATGAGTACCTATTGCTAAAAATCTTTTTTTCCTCTGTGCAATGACAAGTAAATACTATCAATGCTTAGTAGCTTTTCATATTCCTGGATCCAAGTAGCATACGATTAAGAATAAACAAACAGTACCAAGGAGAATCAGATAAAATCGAAAAAATACTCAAACTCACATGGAACCAGTAGTGGGATTTAACCAGTTCGCACCACTTTGGCAGAACCGGTAGCTAATTTTTTGTTGCCTAAGCCCAGAATGGACTTCCGGAAGCGGCATCCACACAGAGAACCAATTGTTCACATATTTGAATCCCACCACTGCGTGGAACTGTAGTGTTTGTGCAAATGGTAGCTCATAGCTACCTGGAAGGAACATTCTAAGTGAGCAAACCCATGAAGTTTCAATAACATGTTTGGTTGGCCTATGTAGTGCTGATATCCAATTTCATGTTAAGAACAAGTACAGTTAAGGAGGAAGCAAGAGTTTTTCCTATCATTTGCCTATACAGTTTGATGTTTGTCTTGTGGGAGGGAGGAAGGGAGGGAGGGATAAATTCTACTTTAATCCAGGAAAGTATTAAGTGTATGGGTAAGATGTTAGGTGGAAAACTAAACAAAACAGTAACTGCGAATCCTCCATGTTGCTGACTGTAATAAAGAAATTATCTGCAGGGACTTCGAACTTTCCAAAAGATGAATAAATCAAAAAAAACAATGGATTATTCTTAGGACCCAACTCCTTCTCTCAAGTGCCAGCTAAGCTTATCCAGTTTGCCATGAACAAAGCCAATGCCAGATTCTTTACTGTGTTTTATGTTGGTAAGTGAAAAGGTACACATCATAGCAGACATACCAGCCCCTAAAGCATGTGCTTGCTCTCATTATAACATAAATCAGCACATAAGGTGATTGTTCAAAATCACTAAACTGCTGAATTCTGCAATCAGACTAATGTCTGGCAATTTAGAACAAAATTGCTACAAATATACTGACTTCTGGTGGTTTCAGATATCAGTATAGCATGCTGGTTTCATCCCTTTTATTTCTAAATGGTCCACAACAACTACTTAAAAAATGGCCTATTCCTACATGTTCCTGCTTGAAGTCTTTGCCAGCAGAGGTTAAGTTGGTGAAATAAAGTGGAGAGAGGCAAGATAGAAAGTTACACCAGAAGAAAAATGGTGAGAGAGAAACTTTACTATGACTGAGCCCATAATCTAATTTTAGCCTTTCCATCCTTTGCAATTTGCCTATACCATTTCCCTGGGTCTCAGTTATAGTAAAGTATGTTTTTTCCTCTCTATTTCATCCTTTCTCTAAAAAAAATAAAAGAGAGGATCGTTTGAGTTGTGAAACCTGTGGATTCAAGTAGGATTGGAATAAGGAATTTGTTTATTCTCCAATTTACCTTTTCCTTACATGTCTACTTTATTTTATTTAGCATATGGCACCTTATATGTTTAAACTGGTTACATTTCTCCTCCTTCCTGAGCAGATTTTTAAGCTGATGAGCTCTGAAACAATTTTCTGACTACAGCTGTTTGGAGTGACTTATTAACATAATTGTTTTCATTTCCTTATAGCAATCTTTTGCTGCAAAGCTACTTTGAACCTGATTTAATCATACCCCCACATTTTTAATCCATTTAGCAGTACCCTGACATTGCACTGACAAATTTTGGCAGTCAGATCTCAACAGTGTAAGTGGAAATGAGGCACAGGCTTTTAGGAGGACTTTACCACTCAGACAGCCAAAATTCAAACTAATTTCAGTCATTTTTGGAGGTTTTGGGGGGGGCTTTTATGGATGGGGATAGTATTGTGATTATTGTATATAAAACCTTGGAAAAGATTTCAAAATAAAGACACCCCCCCCCCAAAAAAATTTAACACCACTCATTTTGGTGATACAATTACCCCACCAGATGGCCTCCAGAATATTGAGGTGCAGAATTACACCCCTAACTCTCCCTGATCCTTGCTAAAGAGATAAAGGAACATGGAGGTGAGCCAGCCATCCTTTTTCAAAGTGGGTCTCATTGCTTTCAGTGGCCTTTTACCACTCTGCAAATCCATTTATGGTAGCAGTGCAAATCTAAGTCTATGTTCCTACCCCAATGGCTATACCTGCTTAGAACCCAAAGGCTAGCATCTGTTCTTGGTTACAAAATCATTCCAATGATTTAAGTGGATTTTGGCTGGATGGAGTCTGCTGAATCCGGAGCATGGTGCTCAGTGCATAAATTTTTGATAACTTTATTCAGGGTTGGAGAGCATGTACATTGCAGCTGCTGACTTTTTTCTTGGATACAGTAATTTGGCAAGTAGGTTTTATTTTCTGAGTGGCAGAAATATTTTCTGAATCGCCTTGCTGAGATTCATGGGGAGAACTTTAGGATAATTATACCACAACTGTGTATGTGGTTTTAAACTGATTTAGCAGACACAACTCTTAGAGAGCACTCAGTGAGGGAAGAGGCTCCATCAGCTCAACCGAAAGAGCAGCTTAGAAGCATTTAAGCAATTTGAGCATTATAGATGTTTTAGCACCGGGCTCCTGAGTATAGCCAGAGTTTTAAGTACAGCCACCATTAACTACCTAGCTTTTAGAATGGCTTCTGCTGTGTAATAGAGTAGCTGAGCTTTGCAGTTAGTATTCAAGAGGACATTAATTAGACTTCAGAGTAGGGAAGTTGGGATATGACATTTAAAAGGGGCAGTACAGTGAATCCATTTTAATCATTTGATAAATTTGATAATTTGATAATTAATTTCTAACCAATCCTGTTTTATAATCCTGCAGTTCCTTGTCCCTTGATTATAACTATATCCTGTTTTCTTTGTTTTGGGACCATGGAGTGTTACTGAGCATGTCCACATGATCTTGATCTGGCTTTGCGAACCTGTAATAAATATTTGCAGACTAAAGTACTCTGGTGTCTTGAGTACAGAATTAACCTCAGCTTGGATCACTTGAGAAGGGACAAAAACTTGCAAGTTGTAAACAGAAGAAAAATAAATTCAGAAGTTACTTTTTACAGATTTTTGCTCCTATTTTCACTGAACTTTTTTTATTCCAGTTGATCATTTGATGTCTTTGGTAAATTAAAACTACTATATAGGTAGCAGTTTTATTCAAGGCCTTTTATTTTTGCATGATGACTTTTAGACTGCAAGCCTGAAACCAGGACTTTTTTTTTCTTAATGACCTTTGCGATGAAAATACGTAAGTTCGAACACCAGGATAATGTTAAACCAAAAACTCTTTAATACAAGTGCTGAGCTTTAATGACCTTTATAAGCTGTTCTGGAAACCTTTTTCAGCTGAATAGCAGAGTAAAAAATGTTTTAAATAAATGAGTAAATTGGGAATTATGATTTAAAGATATACATTCCCTAGCTCCCTTCACAGAGCTATGATTTCCTTGCAGTTAATGAATTAAATCTAAAGTTTTATTAAGAAATCAAGTATTAGTTTAGTACCAGTAACACAATGGCATCTAGGGACTAAAAGGAACAGACATCACATAATACAGATTGTAAAAATCACTGCCCATAGTTTTGTTGTCCATTTTTCATGCAAATAAAATGTTTTTGGGCTAAATGTTACAACACAAACTGAGTCCCAGTCTTGAGGGTGGCTGACTGTTCTGCAGTTCTACCTTTTCTAAACACTATCAGGCATTTAGCTGGATACAAGCATTGTTTTACTCCAATAATCTCTGTTTGCACTTGACCTAATTAGTCAGCAGTCCTTCAACAGTTTGTACACTCCCGATTAGAACAGTATTTCATGAGATGGTAAAAAGGGAGGGAACTAGAAAGGCAGGGGAAAATATCAAAAACCTCAAACATGATTTTGCCCTAATTCTTGGCCTTAAGAGGTACATGAATGGATTTGCTCTGCTATAAGAAAGCACAATCATATCAAAAGCTTCTTAGAGCATGATAAAGCATGCCATTGTTCTGTTTAACATGTGGTGTAACAATGATTAAATACAAGGGACTATGGTAATATGTGCTTGAAAAGGTCAGTTCCCATTTGCTGATTAAGTCTTGAAACCAAAAACAGAGATGACAAAGATCTACCATGCTTTAGAAGTGTCAATTTTATTCATTTATTTATAAATCCATTATGGCTATATCTGTTTACATGTTACATTTTCTTAAAAAGGTCAAATGGCATGGTATTCAGGGATTGTTATACCAGATACAACTTTGATTTAGAAAGATATTCCAGAAACCACTTTATTTTTCCAGTGTAAGGCATTTGTTTACTTGTTTCATACAGTACGTTGAATACCAGAACCCTAAAAATATGCAACCCACATCCTCAAGCCAAGATCTTTTACAAGGCCAATTAACTTTCCCCTTGTGCTATTTCGGATCAACAGGCTAAAATTTACAGTTTATTTCACCTTAAGTCATTTTTCAGATGATAAGAAGGCTCTTTGGTTTTCTTTCTGATGAGTTTCTGGAGACAGCCAATCCCATTCATCAAACTGAGTGAAAGGGTCACCCCTTTTACTGGCAGTACAGAAGCCATATTTCTGCCTAAGAGCTCAGTGTGTGGGCAAGGAACTTCATTAACAGAGCCAGCTAAATAAGATTTGAGTATATTTCATTTTCTCTGGATTTATGTATTATCAAAACGGTAAGACTTCAAAGAGTCATTGAAACATCACCTCTAATTCAACACCCTGCTGCATATATGATCCTCTAGATTAACATCTCTGACAGAAGCCATCTAGCTTCTGTTTGAAGACTTTTGGCAAAGAAGAAATGATGTCAACCCCATCAGGTAGTTGACTAAGAAACAGACACCATCCAGATCTAAGCTACTTTATTGAAACAGCTATAGGAACAGAATCTTGTAAGTCGGAATGTGCTACCTTCCTTTTTCATCTTGATGAGAATTAACTGGAGGGGAGCACTGTCTGAGACACTTTCTCAAAGTATTTTCTTGGCCTGGGCTCAGGTTTCATTTATCTGAAGATCTTCCTTTTGTACTTCAAGGCCATCCTATTTTTCCACTACATTCTATCATTTTCTGTGCATCTTACTTCACTGACCTACAGCTCATATAGTGAGAAAGTTCACCTGACATCTAATCTTGTAGTTCCTTGTAGTTTTAAACCATTGATTCTGGCCTTTCCATCTAGCCTGAGTTTTAAGCTGTTCTTTTTATATCATGAGGAACCCATTTCAAAAGATTTCCTCTTCCTATTACGGATAGACAATTGCAGAGACAGTATTTGGAAAGATATTGAAAACATGGTTCTCAAATTCCTATGTAAATGAGTTGTTTTGGATCTCTGTTACCTGATTACTGTATAAACTAATTTAGCAGTTAAATTCCTTGTTACAAACCATAGGACCAATCTGTAAGTCTGGTAAAGCCAGCTAAATGGGTTGCGATGTTTCTAACTGAAATCTCTTGTACAGAGCCTTCAAGGCATTAGAAATACATCAGCTTTCCCCAAACTGGAGTCTCCAAATGTGTTGGCTTATCTCCTATGGAATTCCCAGCCTTCCTTAACAACTCTGGAAGTTTCAGCCCAAATATAGCAAGAAAGCATGAAACTGGGGATATACAAATTTACAGCACAATGTAGACAGATCACCTTCATCAAAAAAAAACAACTCCTTATCTATGTGTCCTGATTTTTCTGGTAAGCAGTGGGTATTAAAATTCCAACATTTCAAAAGTTAATTACAACAAATAGGGGAAGTCACACAGGCTTTTTACTTTTATTATCTTGTTTTACTGCAACAGGGAAAAAGTGACAGAGTGCTCTCTCATATTAAACTGAATGCAAGGAAAAACTGTATATTACCCAGCTGCCAGATTCATATATAAGGCCTGGCCTCAATCCTGCTAAATTGCAATACCTTTGCAACAGACTTATAATGGCAGCATTATTTTTGACTGTGTGCTGGTGTATACATCCCCATGTCCCCATCAAACCCCCCATTGTTTGAGCCCTTGGATACTAATACACATTTTAGAAACAACTCCATATAAATAGTATGAATTCCTTGAACTGGAAAATGAGTCTTTAAAAAAAGAAATTTTAAAATCTAGGTTAAAAACGCTTTATGCAAACATTTGTAATTAACTCAATTTTTTTTTAAAAAAATGAGCTTTTAGACAAGTAATATATTTGTTGCTAATAAATTATTTCCTTTTCCCTTCTCTATTATTAGCATTCTAGTTTTAGCTGAATAGCAGTGTCAGATTCATTTTTTTATTTAACAGATTGGATATGTATCCTTACAAAGTGAAGGCATACGAGTCTGAAGACTGAATATCCATAATGTCCCATAGAGTAGGGTGGCATTTTTTTTTAAAGAAGGTCCTGTCATCCATATAAAAACTTGCACAAAAAGCAAGAATAAATCAACTTTACAGCTTTAAAAGGAAGAGCTTTTCCAGCATCATCAGCTACAAAGTACTTAATCAGATTGTAAATGTAATTGAAAATGTCATAATGTTGAAAATAAAATTCTGATGTTTTCCATTTCCCTTTTAATAATACTCAGTATATTTATTTGATGAGCTGAGGAAGTTAACTTGCAATACGTATTTCTGGGAAAACAAATAAAAAAGATAGTTAACAAAGATATTTCTTCCTATGCCAACATTATTTTTTACATGTTACAATTATTCTATTCATTTTCTTTCTCCTTTATATTCATTTATAACATACACTATATGACTAATCAAAAGAGTTCTATAATCCAATTTTGTAGTTGGAAAAAAAGATTTGTATGGTTTCATATTAGATAAAAAGGGAAAAATGAACTTGTACATGAAAATATGTTTTTTGTACAGGAGAGCTAGCACAAATAAAAATGTAAAAACTGTAAATCAAATAACACTGTAAACAGAGAATTTCATCTATGGTATCTATTTACAACTAGAGAAAGAAGTAAGTTTCATTGAACATATCTCAATGAAAGGATCACAAAGAAAGAATACTTTATCTTAAACCTCTGAGGTCTTAGAAAGCTTTTTTGACAGCTCCTTTTCTAAGTGAAATCCTTCGTATTTGATTCTCTCAATTGGTACAGAATAAGAGATACAGTCTTTTAACAATACTGCATTTAAAAAAGACAAGACAAACATGATTTTGTTTGAAAAAACAAATACAAATAGTGAATACAATAAAACACTGGCCATTGTGTCAAAGCTTACATTACCAGTTGTTATATCTCAACATCCAGAACCATATTGGAAATTTTGGAATTTAATATTATATTTTAAATTGATGAGATGGCAGCAGAGGTCCACTCAAATGTCTGTCTTTCTTTTGCTTTTCATATACAATGCATCTCAAGAAATATTTAAAACAGTTTAAAGCTAATTTCTCCTATAAAAGTTAAAGATGCACAGATCTCAAAGACGCAATGTCATAACAACATCAGGGACCTTAGATGGAAAATAGAAAGTGCTTCTGAAAGATATGACTTACAATTTCCTTTCTCACCCTCATTTGTTCATTTCAATGTGCTGAAATACATAGAAAGAACACACTAAAATAAGACTTTTGATCCATCCCTGGGTACATATCCTCTTGAGTTCTGGTTGTGCACTAATATTTTAATTGTTTTATCTCACCTGAAGCCTTTGAAGAGTCAATGCTCAGTAATCAGACAAGGTGCCACCCACTTCCAATATCCCGCCAGAGCTGAACCTAAGACTTGCCTTGCAAACAGATCCCTGCTTCACCCAATTCTTTTCCGGTCTATTTTGCAGAGAATCTTTTTAAAGGACCTCCTAAAATCATGGTTGAAGATAGTATAGATGACAGGATTCAGGGAACTGTTGCAATAACCAAACCAGAAGAAGAACTTGAAGAGGGTCTCAGGAACATGGCAGCTGTTACAAACAGCAGTCAATGTATAAGTGAAGAAGAAAGGAAACCAGCAGACAACAAAAACTCCAATCACTACTGCAAGTACGAAGGTGAAGCGCTTTTCTCGGTTTTGTCTACCTCTCCATCGTGAAGCTTTGGCATTCCTATCCTCTTCTACTTGGTTAGGCAAATTGTCCCCAGGCTTAATTTGGCAGAGTTTGGTTTTGCCCTTATTTCTGGGGAGCCTTTCTGCTTTCCTAGGCTGAGGGGTGTCATTCTGCTCTGAAGAAGACGTGTCCTCCAGGTCTATACCATTGACTTCTGCTTCCTGGCTCCTTCCTGCCAATGCTATCTTCCCCCCATTGAGCTTGGTTATTGCAGGCATATCGTCTTTGTCATCCAATCCATTCTGTCTCCTCTCTACAGTCTCCCCTCGCTTGTTGAGAGGCACTCGAGACCTCCTTTTTGCAATCTGGTAGATACGGATGTAGACCAGGATCATGATAAGGCAGGGAGCAAAGAAGGAGCCAATGCTAGAACAGATGATGTACCAGGTTTCCTTGTTGATACTGCAGCTTGGCAACTTGTTCTCAGGTTTCAATTCTGTTTGTTCATGGAGCTGACTCTCAGGCTCACCCTGCTTCATAATGGAGATAAGCGGTGGGAAAGAGATGACAGCTGAGATGATCCAAACCAGAAAGATGATGCTTTTGATGCGGCGTGGTGTGCGCTTGAGGTTGTACTCAATGGCCTGCGTAATGGACCAGTAGCGATCCAAGCTGATGGCACAGAGATGCACAATGGAAGAGGTGCAGAAGAGTACATCCAAAGCCAGGTAGATTTCACACCATACCTTGCCAAAATACCACTGGCCCATCACCTCGTTGGCAAGAGAAAATGGAATGACCAAGGTGGCCACCAGGATGTCTGCTGAGGCCAAGGAAACCAAAAAGAGGTTCTGAGGGGCCCTCAGCATCCGGCTGGTGAAGACAGCAATGATAACTAATACGTTGCCAAAAATGGTGAAGAGCATCAGCAGCGTGGCCAGGAAGATGAGGGCTAAGGTAGTGGGCAAGGGGTAAGGAAGGCCCTCTTTCTGCCCGCCATCACTTCCATTCAAACTCCCATTGCCATCCATGTGCTGTGGGTAGCTGTGCTCCAGCTGGAAAGAGGGCACGTGGGCCAGGGAAGCGAATCCCCCTTGCTCTGGGTACGGGCTCTTCAGCTTCAACATGAACCCAGCTTCATGGACGTCACTTGAGACAGGCACACCCTGCGAGGAGGAGGAGATCCCGCACCTGTCTCCGGCGGGGCTGATCCTTTCTGCAGGCACCGGAAGCCCCCGAAAGCTCTGATTCCAATCAGGAGCAAGAGAAGCGGCTTGGCTCAGCTTCCATAACTGCCCCCCGCCTCCGTTTCAGTCATAGCAGACCGCCAGGGCGAGCAGGTCTCTCCTTCCTTGCTAGCCCCACTCCCCCAGATCGCCCTCAAAAGTCCAGCCAAGGCCGGAGGGGCTCCTTCAAGAGACCATTCGCAGCAGGCGGAGCGGGAGTCAAAAGTTGCTTCTTACCTTCTCCCCGCGAAAGGAGATCTCCGCGGGAGGCGGGCGGCGGAGAGGGAGACTCGTTTTTCTCGGTGGAGCAGATCCTGCATGGGGGCTACGAAGGGCGCTGGTCTTGCTAAGCCGCGGGAGGAAAGACAAGCCAGTCGAGGGGCTCCGCCAAACACGCTAAACCGGCCGCCGCCGGCGCCGGTATAACCAACTACCACTAAAGGGAGAGCGTTCGTAGCTCAGGGTTTAAAATGGTATAGAAATTCTCCTCAGCCGGGAAGGCAGTGCTCGCTCTCTGCTGAAGCTCAGCCTTCCGGGCTCCCGATTCACTTTATAGCCCCCGATCGGCTCGGCGGTTCAGTGGCTCCGCGTCAGCGCCACGTGGGGATAGCCCCCGGCGCTTTTTCCCCGCCTCTGTCTTGTCGCCGCTCCTCCGGCGGAGAGTAGCGTTTCAACCGGTTGCCTGAGGCTCCTTTACGGTCTTTTCCCGAAAGCAGACGTCCCCTCGCCTGCCTTCCACCTGTCGCTTCCCTCCGAGAGGAGTCCTGCGCTTACACGCCCACCCGCCAACTTCTCAAACGACTAGCTCACACAGGCGCGGCACGCCTCCCTCTGTCCCGCTGGAAGGTTCCAGCTACACACACACGCAACTTCTCTGACCTTCCTTCCCGGTATATGCAAAGGCCCTTGCCACTCGACGGGCTTCCAGACGGCAAGCGTGGAAGTCGAAGCCCGGTTAGTTCAAACGCGGGAGGGTGGGGAGGGGTTCGATCAAGCGGTTTGTTCGGGCACCGCACCATAATTCGTTACCCATGGTTGAGCATTGCGCGCGGGCGTCGCCTGCTATCCGGGCATAGGCGGTATCGCATCTCCAGCCTCATCTTCTCCCTCCGACCGCCCCCTTCAATTTTGTTTTTGTTATTTTTTTATATATTTTAATTCTAAGTATAAGGGGTTGCCTTGTTTCCTTTTTTGCAAATCACACTGGAAACTTTTAGTTCCAAGAAAGAGGGTCTAAGAACTTTTAATAACATGAATTCACAGTGTAACCACACAGAACCTTGATGTACATATATGCATGTGTTGGATGCTGTTAATTTCAATATTTGAGAGTTTTTCTTCAGTTATTGAAAAGGCTGATCTCTTTAGTAAAACATATATGTTTCTTGATGCATCGCTGTGTACAGTATTCATTGGGACTAGCCTGAGGAGATGTTCAAGGTTCTGCTATGAAGCATCTTGCCAGTAATTCCATCAATCATCAGCTGTGGATTGTATCTCACCTGGATAATGCACAGTAAGTATACTCCCTCAAAAGATTGCTTGCACTATACAGTATACAACTCAGTATTTCCTTTGGTGAAATGTTCTATTCCTTGCAGCCACTACTAAGGAGATATTAGTTTAACATTCCCAGAATATATAGTTAACTCTCATGAATGCTTGGCATTCATACAAATCAATCTTCAATAGGCACATAGAAATAAACCATATTTACATACCATTCCAAAGAGACAATAAAATGGTTAAGAAGGAAACAAAAAAAAACATCCTCTCCAGAAACTAACACCCAGATAAACAGGGATTAACACCAGACAAACAGTCAAGTGGAAGACAATATTAAGTAGTTCCTAATCAAAGAACTACCAAGGAGAAAACCACATCCCATCAACAATGGCAGGGCAAGCTATTGTATATCAACCAGGAGCAAGCCCCACATTCAATAACCTTAACCCTAACTCGAACCCTAGGCAAGTAATGAAACATGCAAGCAAACAATACAGCTCAGAGAACATCAAGGATTCCACCGTTCAGTTCTGAGCTATATATATTCTCTTATCTTGGCCTCCTGATTATAGATAGAAAATCTCAGTTGTTTCAACATAGGAGTAAGGAGTAAGCATCCTTTGCAGCCTAATAAGTCAGCTCGATCCTTCTCTAAAGCCCTATTGTCAAGTGCCATAATAAACCATAATTTGTTTAACTATAATCTTTGAAATACAAGTGACTGAATTCTCACAATACATTAAACTACAAACTACCATTTCCAAATCTCAAAAGTGTGATTGACATAAATGGTAAACAAACCAACTTTGTGTTGTCTTCATGTTGTCAACCTGGCCTTATGTTCAAAGGAGCTGCTTGCTGTTATTGTAACTTTCATCATTCTTGCTCCTTCCACAAGTACTCGTTTCCTAATTCCAGTTATCTGATACACATTAACAAGATTTCTGAATTTATAGTCATAACATATTTCAGTAATAGGATCATAACATTTTATGCACATATGATCAACATATGCAGTTGATCAAAATTTTATTAGCATTCTGAAATCACCCAGTTTTGTTTTGATACAGATTATCACCCATTGAGTTGTATAGTACAGATTGCAGAAAGTTGTCTAGTTATACAGCTACCTCAGAAAAGCTAAAATAATTTATTTGATGATAACTTGTTGAATTTTATAAAATGTGAGCCTGCTTAACTTTCTTTGGATTACAAACTTTATGAAACCAAGGGATTCAATACCTTTCAGAACTACTTGTCATGCCATGATTATTATCAAGCATACATTCATATCCATCCTTCAGTTCTCTTTGAGAGTAAGCATCTTTACATAAAACATTCAGACAAAAAATAAGAAATAATGAGCAAAAATTTAAGACACACCATATTTTAGAAAAAAAGATACCAAAATAAATTTAATTTACATCAGTGCAATTTATTATACAGGTAGTCCTTGACTTATTACAACGGCACTGAAAAAAGTGACCTTTGACCGTTTTTCACATGACCATTGCAGTATCCCCATGGTCATGTGATCAGAACTCAGACACTTATCAACTGACTCATATTTATGATGGTTGCAGTGTCCTGGGGTTATGTGATCAACTTTTGCAACTTCTGACAAGCAAAGTCCATGGGGAATCCAGATTCACTTAGCAACCATATTAGTAACTTAACAACTGCAGTGATTCTCTTAACAATTGTGACAAGAAAGGTCATAAAATGGGGGCAAAATTTGCTTAACAACTGCCTCACTTAGCAACAGAAATTTGGGCTCAGTTGTGGTTGTAAGTTGAGGACCAGTGCTTTTTTTGTAAAAAAAAAAAAAAAAAGGTGCTGGAACTCACACACGTCGTACAACCCGCCTTGCCTACCCTACAAGGTTCCATCCCAAAAAGGTGCCGGAACTCTGTTCTGAGCGTTCTGTGACAAAAAAAGCCCTGTTGAGGACTGTCTGTACCCCTATATAATTCTGCACTTAACACTGTTGCATGTTGCATATTCAGTCTTGAGTAGCTCAGGGTTGACTCAGCCTTTCATCCTTCTTAGGTCAGTAAAATGAGGACCCAGATCGTTGGGGGCAATAGGCTGACATCGTAAACTGCTCAGAAAGTGCTATAAAGTTACCTCAACCTTGGTAACTTTAAGACTTGTAGACTTCAACTCCCAGAAAAAGCTCCCAGCAAAGCTGGCTGAGGAATTCTGGGAGTTAAAGTCCATAAGTCTTAAAGTTGCCAAGGTTGGAGACCCCTGCTATAAAGCATATAAAGTGGTATATAAGTCTAAGTGTTATCGCTATAGCCATTGCTATATTATCCTAGAAAATCCTGGGTCCGTGTCCAAAATGTGAATGCCCAGTGAAAGACAGACCAGGGTAGAGATTGCACAGAAGAAGGATACCGGGGATCTCTCCTACAGTTTATGTAACTCCCACCTATCTGTCCCCAGTTCTTATGGTAGACGGGTTATTGAGACATTTTCCTGTGTTTTGCTCCCTTAGTAATTTTCTGTTATATTATTAGCAATTCAAGTTGCATTTTCTACAAGTGCATATTAAAATAGCTTCTGCAATCACATTCCCATTTTCTTATGGATAGGTTCCCTCCCCCCCCCTTTTTTTTTTCTTTGCATTTGCTTTTGCTCTTAGTTTTACATATACTCAATGTTTGGATATAACAAATTAATGGTGTAATTAATATTAATATGGGGGGTCACCTCATCAGATATAAATCTCATAATTTTTCTTTTGTTCTTTAAACTTCTTTTATTTTTATACATCGCAATTTCATCGAATTACAACTTTATTGGCCTCTTTTGATTAGATCCATTCATTCTTCCTTCATATTTGTGATTAAACCATTATTCATTTTCTGTCTATGAACCAAAGCATCTCAGTGTACTTCTTCCAAAGTAGTCAGTCAATTTTTTTATCCAATCCTCCTTTCTTCAGTACTCATTCATTTTTTATCTTATGACACTATGTGGCCATTTTCATTACATGAATTTCAAAGATGCCTTGTTACATACTTCTTTTTTTGAGACCACCATCAGCATTTTAGAACACTTTTTGAAGCTGGGACTGCAAGCCAGCCAAATTCCAGCTAACATAGTTAATAGCCAACTCTTTGTATATTGTAGCTCAGCTTCTAATTTTGATTCCCTTTATGTAATAGGGGTATTGATCGTCATGTTATAACATCATAAATTTGCATTCATTATCCAGTTTTTTATTAGGAACTGGGTATGTCTAGTTTAAGGAAGAGAAGGACATGATAGCAGTGTTCCAATATCTCAGGGGTTGCCACAAAGAAGAGGGAGTCAACTATTCTCCAAAGTACCTGAAGGCAAGACAAGAAGCAATAGATGGAAACGAATCAAGGAGAGAAGCAACATAGAAGCAACTGAGAAGAAATTTCCTGATGGTTAGAACAGTTAACCAGTGGAACAACCTGCCTCCAGAAGTTGTGAATGCTCCAACACTGGAAGTTTTTAAGAAGAGACTGAACAACCATTTGTCTGAAATGGTATAGGGTTTCCTGCCTGAGCAGGGGGTTGGACTAGAAGACCTCCAAGGTCTCTTCCAACTCTGTTATTCTATTCTATTCTACTCTACTCTACTCTACTCTACTCTACTCTATTATTTAAAATATATTTAAGGAGTAATAGTGCTATCATTAGGCAAACTTGGTCAATAAGCTTGATACAGTACCTTCAAAGGAAGTATCTGCAAATAGCTAATTTAATTTAATACATTCAAGTCATAATAGTATATGTGATATTACTGTACATTATAAGTCTAGCAATTCCTGTTTACTCCCATGAGAATCCATAGTAAAACCCTACACGTCCAATAAGTTTAATATGTCCAGATAGAGATATCTAAGCATACCCATGAGTATGCATACATGAGAGCATCTGTGTTTACAATACAGACTCCATTCCCATGCAGTTTTCTGGGAGCAAGCTTCAGTGAACTCAGTGGGGCTCTCTGTTTATTGCACATTTGAGGTTGCAGCATGCAATGAGCTTGAACAATTGACTATTATTAGAACTGCTAGGTTTAACCAAAACCAGCTTTGCAAAGACTGAAAATTGCAGTCCAAAATAAGAGCTGCTTCAAAGAAAACAAAAGACTCTGGTTGATATGCTCCCTTTTTTACACTTTCTACATATCAGAGAAAGGCAAATTACTTTGCTATTGTGCAATTCCAGTTTGCTTTACAGGGAAGAGTACGTATGCCAGGTTCAAAGGCTATTTTATCACCTGCAACAATTTAAGTCAGTGCAATCCTTCTCAGGCGCAGGTTGTTTGTTGTTTACTGTATTTTACTTCAGTACTACTTTAAAAATCCTTGTTAATTTTTCGTCCTTTCCATGTTTATATTATTTTTGCAAAGCCTCAGATACTGCCTTTGGCCTTCAGATGCAAAAAGGATTGTCTCTAAAATATTTTCACCTATTGCCTATAGTAGTGTTTCAGAATAATAATACAACTTGAAAACCTGATTATTGCCCAATCATTTACATCTTTCCCATTGGCTAGCTTCAGTCTCTAACCAGATGTTGATTTCTTGGCAATGTGAAAGTTACTTGGGTACATTATGACTGAAATGTCTGAAAAACAGTTGATCTTTGAAAAACAGAAAATCCAACTATGAAATGAATACATGATGATTTTCAAACCATTTATTGCTCAGATTCATATAACAAAACCTTTTTGGCATTTTGATTATTTTTTTATAGAGGATGGGAGGTTTACATACTTGGGGATCAGTGAAACCTCTCCATGTGTGTGTCTAAATTAGAGTTTACTTTCTTCCCACACATTTTCTTTTGTATGAGCAAAATAAAGCAGCACAGACTTGTCTTTGTGTGTTATCCCTTGTTAATGTTGGCCCTACTCTTAAACATGACTAAGTTTAGATTCCAATTATTGAACCCAAACACAACAATAAATATGATTTTATATTAAGCTTCCTTGGTTTTCAGTCTGAGTGCTAGTTCTTACTTCTAAAAATATGCTTTGAGCCATGGTGATATATAAGCTGGCTCAAAACATCTTATTTTCATCAAAAGCCCTATGAGACAGAGAAAGAGAGAAGCTAAGGCTGATGACTGCAAAGGCAAGAGTTTTTTTTGCAATAGCCTCTGGAGGAAGGAATTTGCTTAATCATTGCCAAACTAGAGACAGATTGTAGTACATGCTTTGTTCAATATCCCAGCTCTTCATGCTTTGAAACTTTGCTTCAAATATCTTCACTACCTGTATGTGTATGCATGTAATATGTAAGCAGGTAGATATTGTTGGCTTTAGAATGGTATAATTCCTTCAAGCTGAAATAAAATTATACACATGAATATATTTTTAAAAATTGATCCAAATTATTTTTATGTGATACATCACCATCACATAAACACATGTGCACAGGGCAGTAGAACATTGGCCCACTCAAAAAAACAAGATTAACTTTCTCCAATTTGTTACCTTCCAGATGTTTTAATCTATAGACGTTATCATTATTGGCCATGTTCCGTAAAGTCAACAGGAGTTGGTCCCCAGACATGTCATTGTTGGGAAGGCTGAAATGGTTTTATAATGTTTATTTCAAATGTTGGTACTGTAATCACACACACAATATAGAATAGGAAAGGAGACAAACTATACATGACTGGTCAGTCTGCACACAATCTTGAAATTAAAAACAAGTTAAATTTCTAATGCATCTGCTTGAAAATTAAGTATGGATATTTATGACTCTAAAATCTACGGGGTGGGATGTCTAAAAGAGTAAATTTAATTTCTGTAACTTTGTATGAAAGAGGAATAAGGGAGTGGTAAGCAAGATATTTTACTTCTTTGTTTGATCTTCCAGAAGATAAAGCAAATTCACTAGCTGTCTTGTTGATATCCTGAAAAAAATCTTTGTTTGCCAGGATTGTTTGCATTAGGATGAAATGTTCCCTCTTCTTCAACAAGCATTTTATCAAATAGAAAGCTAGAGGAATTTGGTTTCAAATGTTTAAACTGTTCTTTTGAGTATCTGTCTATGATCTATCGTGTTATGCCTTTGATAGCCATCAAAATGTATTCCTATGCCTTTTCCAATTTAAATCATTGAAAAATTCCCAGTATTCAAGGTAGTGCATATTTTCATCATCAAAGAGGATCCTTCTAGATGCTTTTTTTCAAGCGTTATGTGTAGCATATACATACTTAGCTTTTGCCACTGCTCTAAGCTCCACAATGAATACTGTCAGCACATGTATCTGTCCATTGGCATTACTTGTTTACTTTCTCTCCCAATCAGAACAGATATGCTCAAACCTCTTTCTACACTATCAGTCGCAACCCCCAGAAGCAGCATTAAAATCAGAAGTCACAGCTAAAGCAGGTTTCATTTTCTAAATCATGTGCTTAATGGATTTAGCAAGTCATCTGTGGATAACAGCCAATACCTTGTAAGCAAAACATTTACAACCATATGAACATATTTAACATCATTTCCCAAGCTATGAAAGGCAGTCACTCAGAAGCTGTATTTACAAACTCAAGGGTTTTCTTTTCAACCTTGGCTTTTGATTGGCATTAATAATGATTTTACATTTGGTTTTCGCTTGGTGTGAATTGTCTTTTAAGGCAATAGCTACTTTGTTTGTCATGTGGCTATAAGGTTAGAGTAGACGTTGAAAACATCCACAATCATAATCATAATGCTCTTTCATTTGTAATGCAAAACTTTATTAGCAGAGTTAAGATAGAAAAACAGCCCAATTTAAACAGTGGTGTAACTTTTGCTCTTGCACTTCAGGTACCAGAAACTGAAATGCATTCAGCTCCATCTCAACTCTATCTCATTAGTTGGTTTTATAAATGCAACTTCTCCTTAGCTTCAGTTCTCCTCATCTAAATGATTAAGGAAAATAGATCAGTACTGTAAATGGCATCTTATATCTTCTCCTGATTCCACTCAACTCCCTTTTAGAGGTAAGTGAGCAGCAGACCTTTAGAGGTAGTACAGTGACACTTTTATAGCCACCTAGCATACCGATAGCATTAGGTATTGTTTTAATAATAACAATAAATAATGACTAATCAGTAGAGCTGTGTACAGTGAAAATGTTTCGGATGAGGTCTCACATAAGCTTGTAAAACAATGCTGCCAGTATAATAAATCATTACGAGAGTTTTATAGCGGCAGCACTATTTTATCAAGCTTTAGTGGAAGTCCAACAAAAAGAAATCATTCTGCTTTAATGAAGAACAGAGACCTGCTGCACTCATGCAAGTTCCAAAACAATTCTTCCAAATTGTTTTCTTAGTGTGCACATGGCACTATTTATGGTAACACTTGAATATTAATTACAACACTTCATAAAGGATCATGAGGATAGCAATGATTTGTCTAGTGCACAGTTTTGAACCTACAGTGATTCTTTAAGTGATGAAAACATAATGCAGAACTTGGATTCTTTAGATTATTGGAAGGTTATGATATTTTAATTACTTATTTCCTCATTCAACAGAGGGGGAGGAATATGACATCATCTATCTCCAGCCTACAACACAGTCCTTTCAACAATTCCAAGAAGGCTCCACGCATATCTGCACTATTCAGGTGATCCTGAGACACAGATAAACCTCCAGTGGCCTCAACGACTCTTGAAAAGAATGCAAATGACCAGCTCTCTGCAAGGAGTATTAAAAAAATCCTTCCATTCCCTACCATCCAGTCAGAGCTAAAGATAGATTAGAAATGAAACGTCTTCAAAGAAAAACAAAATCCAATTGCCTTGTGAAAAAAGCATCCTTGGGGCAACTATGACCTGGATGACTGAGAATCTCCATAGACACTTATTTCCTCTTATTTACAAATGGTGTATAACAGGCAGTTCTTCTTAGTCCTAAAATATATCTTAGTACATCATAATTTCAGGAAGGGCCATCCTGAACAAATTCTAACCATTCTCACCTTCACTCAAGATTAGCATCTTCTTCCCTGTTGTTTAGAGACATACCCAATAGAAAGAAATATATCTAGCTCGGGATTGAACTGTGGAGTCCTTGGTCCCCTCAAGCTCAGAGAGCACCAAGGACTTCCTGGACATAATAGCCTCCTAAGAAACCTAAATCCCAGAAATCTCTGTTCAGAAGAATCTAGCTGCATTGAGTAGTATCTTAAAGGGGGAAAGGAGAGATAATCAGTACTTTGCCAAATATCTTGGGGGCTTTACTACTTAAGTAATTCTTCTGTTGACTAGAACATAACAGTTATAGAAACCACAAAGCTAGAAGGACACTTTTAAGTCCTTCAGTCAATTCCAGTCATCATCATCATCAATAACAATATCAACCTCAACAAGATCCGATGCTGTTATGAACATATCCAGAGACATGCCCATTTTTCTTGGGTTCTTGTACTCCCTAGTTTTGGTTGTTGTTTTGCAGACATTTCATAACTAGGCAAGGCAATATGTAATATGTAGAGGGGAGTAGGGTTTGCTGGCTCTTTATGTTCAGTACTTGCTCTGCTAGTACTGAGGTGTACTTGTCTTCTTTATGATTCCTTGATTAAGATATTTTTGCTTCCCTGCTTGTCTGCTGCAGTTTTTTACTTATTTGGGGTTGCTTCAGATCTATTGAAAAAAAGTAAGTCTTATTTAATTAAATGGAAGCATTTTCCCAGAAAAAAATATTACTGTCCCAATTTACCATCCATACCATAAGCAAGAAATATTCTTAGATCAAATTGACCAAATTGAAATGTCTTCACAGATTGTTCAGTATTCACAATTTGTGCTAACATCAATCTGTACCTGAACAATTTTTGCTAAAGAATTTTTCCTCCCGTAGTTAGCCAGTGTCAAATCAGAAGATAGATTTTAAAAAAAAATGAATTGGAAGGAAAAATGATGAGAATAAGTATACAACGACATCTAGTGATTCCATCAAGTTACTGCAAGTCAGTTTGCCATCCATTGGAAAAACAAAAATTCTGATCTTGATTATGTTGTGGTGAATACAGAGATCCTGTTACATCCATCTGCAACAGGGTTACTGACAGTCACATCATATGGAAGTAATAATTTACAGTCAGTAGTTCTTTTTGTTTCTTACAAGCAAGCTGACAGCAATCAGCAGATTTAATGTGATAAGAGCAAGAATGCATTATTTTTGAAATATACAGCTCCATTTGAAAGTCTTTGATGATAAAGTATTTCAGGCAATGAAGAATCTTGAGCTAGAATTGAAGCTTAAGTAATTTGGTTGCTTGAACATATAAAAGTAAATGCAACCTTTATCCACAAAATGGTTCCTGATAGAGAGTTAATAAGGGACTTTCAGCCTTAATGGTTCTTTAACTACCTTAATGGTTCAAAGGACTGCAAAACCTTTAAAGGAGAACAATGAGGAAATGATGGTTTCAGCCAGATTCTAAAAACAAAGTTCCCTGCCATATTTATGGAATTTTATGGCCAAGAGAATTTACCTATGAGCTCCCAAATGGATTTTTTTTTTTTTTTTTTTTTTTGCTGTGTTTCTCATGCCACTTACTTTACTTCTTTTTTTAAATCACACAAAAATCTGCAATAGATTTGACTGCAGAGGGGACACTATACAATGACTTTGGGTTGTCTCAACCAATCCAATTGGAAGTTGCACACAACTTTTCTAGAACGACCTTACTCAAGACAAATAATGTTCTTTCAAAGATTGCTTCACTGTTTCTTTTGATTCAAGTATTTCAATGTCTCCTACAAACGGAAAGCAGAATTTATTTTATTTTATTACTTTTTTCTATCATACCTTTATTATTTTTACAAATAACTCAAGGTGCCGAATCTGTCCAATACCTTACTCCTTTTCCCCACAACAATAACTGTGAGTTGAATTGGGCTGAGAGAGAATGACCAGCCCCAAGTCACCCAGCTGACTTTCATGGTCAAGACAGGACTTGAACTCACACTTTCCCATTTTCTAGACTTGCACCTTAACCAGTAGCCCAAACTGCCATTCATCAGCTATTACTTTGGAGAGGCTTACTTTCAGTGGAAGTTCCAACCCAAAGAAAAAGTATGACCCTTTTCCATGCAGTCATAGGAAACATGAGATTTGGTGCACTCCTCCAGCTGTTCTTTCTGAGGTCAGTTCATATTATCCAGTGCCATTCTTTTCCTCTGTCTTCCTCTGTTCATAACAGATACCAAATGAAGTAGAGCAGGGCTTTTCAGCCGGTGGTACACGTACCACTTATGGTACATTAATGAGTGGCCCTACCTAGCCAAGTGTAGTGGGGGAGCCAGCACAGGCAAGGACTTACAGTGAGAGAATCCTCTGGAGCTGCAAAGGCCCCAGGCTCACTTCTGGCTCATCCTCCCCCATGAGAAAGGAGGAGGGGATGGAGACAGGAGAGCCTATAAAAGAAGGCAGTTTGGGCAGGAGAGGGAGAGAGAGAAAAAGCAGCAGCCTTGGGAAGAGGCAGAGTCAGCTGCACTGAAGGGGGGGAAGAAGAAGGAGGAGGGGGAGGGTGGGGGGAGAGGATATCCAGCAGGCTGGCCATGAGCCGATCTACAACTGTTGTGGCAGCCACCTGTGCTGGCAGCAGCAAACAGGCAACAAATGCAGCAGGGGGGTCACCCTCCAAGAGGAATGAAAAAAGGCAGCAATGGCTGGAGGTGAGGCACGGAGGAGGGAAGGAGATGGAGAGTGGAAGGATTCTTATGTGTTTTTGTGACTTTGAAGTTCTGGAATTTGTGCAATGAGAGCTTTGTGTTCTTAAGGAGTGTTTGGCAATTTCTATTTGGCTGATCGCTGGTGTTAGCTTCTATTGCTCTGCTGTTAGCTATAAGTTTTGCTGAAAGGGATTTTGAAGTATTTTTCTCCTGAATGGATTTTGCCTGTAGCATTTCTTTACTTATGAATGGAGCCATTTCGGGAGGTTGCCTTAGCTGGCAGCCAGTACTTACATTTTTTTTCTTCCTTAAGTGCTGGCTGCGCTCCTTACTTTCCTTTCTAGCCAGTAGCTAATTCTTAAAGGGGAATGTGCCTTTTTAATCTAGTTCACTCAGCAGCTTGTCTTTTCTGTCTCTGGAGGCCTTTCCTTGTTTGATCAATATATGGAAGAGGGAAAATATGGGGGGGTTCAAATTCTTCCTTCAGAAGGAGATGGGAATGAGAAAAAGGGAGGCAGAGAAGGGAAGGGGGAAAGGAAGTTCCGCCTTAGCATTTGGCCACCAGCAGCTCTGCCATTGACTTTGCTTGTCAAAAGGTTGCAGAAGGGGATCACATGACCCTGGAACACTGTGACCATTATAAATATGAATCAGTTGCCAAGCATCCATATATAAATCACATGACCCTGGGCATGCTGCAATGGTCATAAGTGTAAAAATGGTCATTGTGCAATTGCAACTTTGAATAGGTGGGGGGTTTTTTTGGTCATCAGGTTTTTGACACCTTGCTAGGTGGTACTCAAATATTGCCATATCCTAAAAGTGGTACAATTGGCAAAAAGGTTGAAAAGCCCTAAAGTAGAGGATAATGTATAATCTTGACTATCGCACCTTTTAACAATCCCACAATCATTTCTCTTATTTAAGACATTTCATTTTTTAATTTTTTTGTTTTAGTGTATTTTTTTATTTTATTTTTAGCCAACAAAACAAAACAAAGCAAAACATAACACACATACACACACAGTATATACTCCTCCCCCCTTTTTTAACAGCGATTACGTAACGGTAATCTATTATTTACATTTCCCCCCTTATTCTTCTTTAGAATATTTGTCCTTATTGCCCCGTTGTTTCTTATTTACATTTTTCTTCCTTCATATTCTATTTCTTACTAAGAATAATTTATATTATTATTATTATACATTATTATACACATATTTTCACTTTTGACCTTTCCATATTTATTCTCCTCTATTATTTCTAGTCTCCACCAGTCATACCACCTGTTCCATGTTATATAGTACTCTGTGTTTTCCTTTTCTTTTATCTCTTTTGTTAAGTTGTCCATCTCAGCATAGTCCAGGATTTTTCTTATCACTTCTTCCTCTGATGGTATATTCTCACTTTTCCAGCACTGTGCATATGCTATTCTTGCCGCCGTTGTTATAGCTAAAATTAAGTACCATATTTCTTTACTATATTTTCTGTTTAAAATACCCAGCAAAAAGATCTCTGGTTTCCAGTCTATGGGTTGGTCTATTATTTCTTCGATCCATCTTCTTATTCTAATCCAGTATTTTTTCACAACTGGGCATGTCCACCATAAATGATAATTTGTTCCATGTACTTTTTTACATTTCCAGCATGTTGGCGAATTGTTCTGGAACATCTTGGCAAGCTTTGCTGATGGAAGATGCCATCTGTAAAACATCTTCAACTGGTTTTCCTTGAATGCCGCCGACATAGTCAATTTTATATTTATTTCCCATATTTTTCCCATTTCTCCAATTCTATATTATATCTGAAATTTTTTGCCCATCTAATCATTGTGTCTTTGACAACCTCGTCTTCCATTTTATATCTCAATAGGTATTTGTATAAATTGCTAATTAATTTTATTT